GTTTCATTGTGCAGTATATGAGAGCAGGAATTGGACACATTACCTGTTTTGAAACAGACGAACGGTAAACTGCGGGAGCAGTCTTCATCTGACCAGCGTCCTGAGTTGTTGAATTGTGCAGCGACACACTGCTCTCCATCAGAATCTGGTTGCCCAACAGCCCAGTGTCGAAACAGAGAGTTGCTCCCATCAGACCACAATTTTTGGCGATACAGACCGATCCACACAACATGTCCCCCTGCTATGTTTCTGACAATGAAGTTTTCTGTGGAATTTCGAATGCTGTGGGGAGAAGAGTAGCAAATAAACATTAAGGTTAACTGATGAGGTTGAACAACAGACACTAAAAAGTCCAGTTGGAAATATAATTCTGTGCTTTATGTGGTCATTTAAGATTTTGGTAAAAACAGTTAAATCATCATTGGAACATCACCAGTCTAATACAACACTCAAACTATTTTGCCAGTGACAGGACTATGCACACACATTTGCCATGTACTTATTCACATAGTGGAAAAGTATTTTTATTAAGGTTTTGGAATTGGTCTCAACCACATTGCCCTCATCTGCAGGATGCTTTGAAACAGATAAACTTGATGTAAAACTGATTTATAAAAACAAAAAGGTAACCAGAAGGTGGTGCTATTTGGCTGTCAGGGAGCAACAACTAAGACAACAGAGTACTATCCGCAAGTTAGAAATAAAAAAACAAAACAAAACAGCTTTTCAAATTGAAGTTTAGGTGAAAGACTGTAGAGGGCTGATTACTCTAGGAAGAGATATCTCTTTTGCAAACCGCATTATGTCATTACTCATCCCTCTTATCCCTCACTTTCTGTAATCTTTGTACTGTCTAAAGGAAAACATAAAAGAATGGAACAGATCATAGAACACAATGTAAATCAAGCCCTGACAAATTGTAGTCACCACATCAGAATATAAATGCCTAGTTCTAAAGGACATAACATCAAAATGTAGTCTGTTCAGTTGTGCATTAAGTCACGGAGTCTTCATCTGTGTACACTGTACCTGGCTAGATCGACATAATTCTCCCTGCAGAATCTCTGAGCATCAGTCCAGTTTAAAGGTATATCAACCCGAACAAAAGATGCTGTGCCATTCACTGTACCTGGATGGAAAAAAGTAATGAACAGCATCAGGATAAAATGTTTTTCTACGATGCCTGCTGTGTTCTCAGTGACAATAAAGTAAAGATCTGATAGTCGGTTTCATGACTCCATTTATTGGAATAAAATATTGCTAATATCATTTCCACATATCAGATGTGTACATGTTTCTAGAAATGCTATGAAGAAGACACATTTGGCCTTTTGTGAATGTTTACAATTTCTTTGCTAATTCTCTGTAAAAACTCACCGCTGTAGCAGACAAACCGATGTATCTCATTGCAGTTAACGTCGCCCCATGTGCCAAACTGTGGACTTGCACTAAAAAGCTCCACACAGTACTGTTGTCCTCCGCGATTACTAGGTTGAGAGGAATCCCAGTTTCTATAGGTTTCCTGTCCTGCACCATAGAAGCTGCTGTCATTTAGGGACCATCTCCAACTGTTTTCCAAGTCATCATAGAGACCTATCCAAGCTTTGCCTGTTCAAAAACACAACAACAAAAAACTCTGCAGTGAAACATGTTCTCAAATGCTGATTGAATGTGATGCTTTCTCAATCCACATCATAGTTCATATTTTACTGGATTCCTACTAAGTTACTCAAAAACTTGGGTGCTGCCTGGCTGTTGACTACAGTATCATTACAGTCTGCATATGTTACGTGTGTAATACTAGAAAACTCACCTGTGTAATTTGATGTGGTGTTCGTAACGTCATCAACGTCAGCTGTGTTTTCTATGGTGGCCAGATCAGTGTAGTCACGTCTGCAGATACTCTGAGCATTCGTCCAGTTCTGTGGCGTTTCCACAAAGACATAGTGACGAGTTTGGGCAGAAGAAATGCTGACCACTGCTCCTGAAACAGAACATATTCAGATTTTGTAGCACTCAGTGTTCGTGTAGCCTTTCTGTATTATTTTACTGCGAATAAAAAGGGGCACTGTGAATCAGTTGGGTTCGGCCACATTACTGTTGGATTTTCCAAAACTTCTTCCTCATTGATGAGATTTTTCTGATCTAATCTGTACCTGCAAGCAGCCTGACAACAGCAGATTAGTTCATACTTACATTCCCAGATTATTCATTGAACATTTATCTACAGCAGGAAACTAGAGACAATCTTGTGATGGGATCAGATCAGCTGTGATGCCCACATGTGCACATTCTGACTCATGAATCCTCTGTTAACATTCAGATCACATCCATCTTGTAGCTCAGCCAGCTTTTTGATTTCAAGTACACACCTGTAAAGTTTCTTGACTGCATTTCATATGATTGTGATGCTATTGTGTTACCAAACTGTGCCCACAGACAGACATATAAACACCTGCCAGACAATTCAAAAAAGCCTTTGTGGCAGTTCATGCTTCAGTTGTTGTCTCCAGGACCACATTTTGCCATGATGACACATACACAGACAAACAAAGAGACTCACAAGGTGAAAACAATGCCACTTTTGCTGATGAATACTTCCATCTAAAACTATTTCTGCCCTGTCACCTTGACTGCATTATCCTGAATCGCAGCTCTGCGTAAGAAATGCCTGCTCCGCTGAACCGAATCCAAACAGCGCTTCTGGATTTCCTAACCAATCTGTTCACTGTAGGTCTAGATAGATTAAGTTTTAGTCGGTCTCAGTGAAACTTTAGGTTCATTAATGAGGACAACAGCAAAAGAACCAATTCAACTACGAGATGAAAACATATACAGCAACGTTGATGAACTCCAGTGAAACTAAAAGGTGTTATCCTCCCATAATCTCAGATTCAAAATAAGTCAGGTGTCCGTACGTGTGGGAAAACATGTATGACCGTATTCATGATACATAGAGCCACACTCGTTGCAATTTCTATTCACTGCCTTGTCATTGTACCAAAATGATGAAAATTCAGGTACCCTACAGAAAACATGACAACTTATGAAGTTTTTTGTGTTTTTTTTTGCTATTTTAAGCTGACCTCTTTGTCTCATTTGCACCAAACACAAATACTTGTACATTTACAAGTTGTGATGGATCTAAAAAACACAAGTGAGAATAATTATACAAAAGGCACCAACCTGTGAGCACAAAGATCACCAGACCATAATCCATGAGTTAAGCCTCTGAAAAGACGCATATTGTTAATTTATCCATTCGAAAATGTTCAAACTTAGATCAAATTACATTTTTCACCGTACACCTGTAGATATCTGGTAGTACACAGATTCCAAATATATTTCTCTGTAAAGCACAATATTTATGGATTCCACTTACCGTTCTTTTTCTTTAATCTCCTCCTTCTGGAAAATAGAGCATTTCACATGTCCCTGAGTGTCAGTTAAAGTGTGTGGCTAAGCTCTGAGGTAACTAAGTACTTACCTGATGTTTATCAGCGCGAAGCTACAGTGTCTGTGTTGAAAGGTCTTGCTGTGGGCGTAGTTCAGATTCGGGTGAAAAAAAAAACAGTCTCTGCTATGACAAAGACCTTGTGCTGGAATCAGGAACTGTCGTCATTTTTTTTCCGCATGGGTCTGATGGAAAGGTATGTACATTTGATCCAAACAGCATAGAAATGTGTCATGTACCATTTACAATAACTGGCTCTAAAGCGTGAAAGTAAAATAATTTATATAGACCCTCATTAATGGTACCAGTTAACTATCATGTGTATTTGTAGTTTAAATTTTATGTGTTACTTCAACTTCAAATGAAGAACATTGCATCACTACATTTTAAACGTCACACATCCATTATATACACAGAATCACACTGTACTGTAGATATTTTGGTCATTCATTTTGCACAATGTATAAGCTGCAGATTTGTTTTTGTTTTAAGGGTTTTGCTTTCAGTTCCTTCTGAAGTTACCTAAATTTAGTTTTTGTTCTTTTGTTACATAATTGAATTGTTTTAGTCAAAGGTAGTCTCACAGTTAGTGAGTGCAGAACAATTTCTTCCTTTTCCCAATTTCCTTAATCTCTGTGCATCACAAAGATGCTTCAGTCTGTGTTTGGCAATGATTAACCTGCCAACCCAACTTTCATGTTGTGCAATGCAAAGAGGAAGGAGCTGCCAAAAAAACCTCATGGGATTTCCCCCCCGTAACTCTGCTTTACTGTGATACTCTTCCAGTGTAACCAAAGGACTTGAACACTGAGGTGTACCAAACTGTAAATGATGACTATTCTTGGCACTCTATTGAGCAAAACATTTTAAAATTGTAACATTTGGGTGGTGTACTCTTTCTTAAGTTGTCAGATTTCTTTTGATTTGTTTTGACATATTAACTGACTTTAAATATGAAATGTTTCTTAGCAACTGTTGCTTTCTTTTATCTGCTAAATATTTATTGTGATGGAAAAAAGTTATGCATTTTAATTTTTTTCTTGTTTTTCCAGTCTGACAGATCACAGACTGCTTTTCACCTGAGGCAGAATATAGTGTTGTGTGACGTTACAAGACGTAAACCTATCATTATAACATTCCTTTGAGCAGCAGTTCTGTAGGAGATTCTCCATTTTCATATTTTTGCAGTTTAACTGTTTTTTAACAATGTTTTAGGGCAGCTGTCAAAGCTGTCACTATTACTGTCCAGTGCATACATGTTCATATTTAGTGGTTTCCTAATCTGCTGTATTACTGTATCTAACATTGTCTGTCACTTGGAACAAGTTTTCACTTGATGCATCTTATCTCTACTGACATCCATGTTCATCAGAATGGATTAAAAGTAAGCTGAACCAAAACAAAACACATATAATTTAATCACTCACTGATACTGACATGCTGTGTGTATCTGCTATGTTCTACTTCCTCTTGTGGTGAGGACTGGGACTGCAGCTTGACCAGTCTGTGTCACCATGCTTAGACTTGTACTAACATTAAGTGGGAGTTCAGAGGTAAAGGTCAGCAGCAGGATTCCCCAACAGTCTCCTGCTGTCATACTAGATGACAGATGTAGATTCTCAGCAATCCTTACAGTTTCTAGGATTACTCACACCTTTGGTGAAGTTGTCCTTCTTGCTTTGCCACTTCTGTTCAGAGAGCAACCTGAGGATGGGCCTGTCATGCTTCATGTAGGCCATCTCCTAATGTAGCTTTCTTATACTGGCTAGAAGCTTCTGATTCTTGTCCTAGTAGACTCACAGTGGCACAAACAGTGATCTGAGACCAGATTTAAGCCAAAGGTTTAACATACAGAGTAGACCAACAGATCACTGAACACCAGACAGAGAAATCAAAAAGCGGATCTTAGTGACAGAAAGGAACAGAAGAACTTGATTCACATAAGGAAGTAAGTCAGAGAGAACCCACGCTGCACAGGGAAAACATGCAAACTCCACGCAGAAAGATCCCAGGCGTCCTAACCGGGATGCAAAACGGGGATCTTCTATCTGCAAAGTGACGGTGCTAACCACCAAGCCACCTTGCAAAGTGTTAGTCACATATAAGTTTGTTGGAATCTGAGTAATAGTTCTCACCTTTTGACCCAGGTTTCAATCAGGAGTTTCTGCATTAGTCATGCTAGGAAACAGATGTACAGTGCGGTAGTTTTTAAGCTGTAAGAAATCTTTACACTGAGCATATACAGCTCAATGAATACAAGTATGTGCTTTAATGTTCTGACAAAATAGTTTCTAGTTCAGTTTTACTATCTTTACTCTTACCGTATAGTGCTAAGAGATAAGCATAGGAACTTTCAATCAATCAATCAATCAAAAAATCATCCAAATATTTGTTTTGATTAGTTACTGCATTTGGAGAAGACTTTCTGAAAATGTACACACATGTTTTGTCAGCATACGCTGCTCTCTCAGGTAAACATTTGTGGGAATTATCAAAATGAACCACATTGTTCTAAGGTATTGCTCAGGGGCATCTTAAAAAGAGCGTCATCTATGTAGCTCAAAAAACACAATGGACTAAGTCTCTGGAACTTTTAACTAACTGTACAGTTATTCACTGCTGGTTCTCAGACATTCATCATTTAGACATCAAAAAAGAAAAAAANTCATATACAGTGTAAGGAGACAAACAGGATGCTGTGGGACACAATATTAAACAGAAGAGTTATATTTTAGTTCTACACTGTCACAGTGAAGCTACCATGATGACTGATTCATTTACAACACATTTTTAAAACTTTTTATCTCACCAGTGACTGCAGTAATGGTGACTCCACTGCTTCCGACGTTCTCAAACACAGAGAACAGAGTGAATATGTATTTAGTCGCAGGAGAGAGAGATGAGACTGTATGACTTATTGGTCCATCTCCAGCTGGTGGACTGAAGTTTGTCTCTGTCCCATTAAACTGCAGAATGAAGCTGACGTTGTTGTTCACTTTATTCCACTGCAGAGTGATGCTGGTCTCATTTTGTCCTGTTGATCTGAAGCTGTCTGTGTTTGGAGGATCTGAGAGGAAAAAAGGAGAAGGTTGGTGAATTCACATCAATGTGGATTCAATCAGCAACAGCTCCACAAATGGAAGAAGACAAAATGAACATCCAACAAATCACAGTCACTTGTTAGAATTTAGACACAGAAAACAGCCTTATAGCAATGAGTCTGTAAACAATGATTGTAGTTTGAAAAGAAGCACAGCAGTTATTTTAATCACTGCAATGCAAGGCGACCTTTTTATCTAACAACTGTTACCAGAAAAAAAAAAAAAAAAAAAAAATCTGTATAGTTGACTTTACTGAGGAAGAAATTGAATGTCTTACAAGGAACTGCAGTAATGGAGACTCCACTGCTTCTGACGTTCTCAAACACAGAGAACAGAGTGAACGTGTATTCAGTTCCAGCAGTGAGAGATGAGACTATATGAGTTACTGGTCCATCTCCAGCTGGTGCACTGATGTTTGTCTCTGTCCCATTAAACAGCACAATGAAGCTCACATCGTTGTTCACTTTATTCCACTGCAGAGTGATGCTGGTCTCTGTTTGTCCTGTTGATCTGAAGCTGTCTGTGTTTGGAGGAGCTGAGACACAAAAGACAAAAAAAATATTAATTACCAGAAGACTTTTCATAGAAAATGGTTAAAGTAACAAAGTTGCTCCATTTTATGCTACCTAAAAATGAATTTTAAAAATTGCAGCAATGAGTCACACACATCAGTTGTTCACTGGCAGATCCCCAAGATCATCAGTTACACACATTCTTATGAAATGCTTTATATTGTAATGTCTGCTCTTAATACATGCTGATCCTGTTGATTTCCAGTCATTGCCACTAACTACCATTCATTGTAAAGTCACTGCTCCATGAAACTCTGAGAGTGATTTCTCCTTGATTTCACCCATGTGTTAGAACCACTACTACTCCAGCAGCTGTTCACCATTTGGTGACTGTCATCATGTTGGATGCAACTTCATGAGCCACTACTTACTCATGGTGTATAACTATTTCAAGTGTTCCACCTGTCCTACGTTTACATTTTCATCAGTAAAACAAGATAACAGTGTTGTTGTTGAATTAGTAGACATTAATGAATTATCTCACCAGTGACTGCAGTAATGTTGACTCCACTGCTTCTGATGTTCTCAAACACAGAGAACAGAGTGAATATGTAGTTAGTCGCAGGAGAGAGAGATGAGACTGTGTGACTTATTGGTCCATCTCCAGCTGGTGCACTGATGTTTGTCTCTGTCCCATTAAACAGCAGAATGAAGCTGACACTGTTGTTCACTTTATTCCACTGCAGAGTGATGCTGGTCTCATTTTGTCCTGTTGATATGAACCTGTCTGTGTTTGGAGGAGCTGAGACAGAAAAAGAGAAAGTGAGAGAAATTATTCAGATTCTGTCTTCTATCAGGGCTGCAAGGTGGCTTGGTGGATAGCACCATTGCCAAAGGACACCCAGGATTTTTCTCCGTGGAGTTTGCATGTTCTCCCCGTGCAGCGTGGGTTCTCTCCAGGTTCTCCGGCTTCCTCCCACAAGTCCAAAAACATGTTGAGGTTAATTGGTGATTCTAAATTGTCCGTAGGTGTGAATGTGAGTGTGCTCGGTTGTCTGTCTCTAAGTGTAGTCAATCAGGCTGACAACAATTAAACCAATTCTCTACTTTGACATGATCTGAGTATTCTGTGGTGAACATCTGTAAATACAATCTACTGTATCTTACATCTACAATGCTGAAACATATATGGAAACCTGTAATTAAATAACTGGAATATCTTACCAGTGACTGTAGTGATGTTGACTCCACTGCTTCTGGCGCTCTTAAACACGGACAACAGTGTGAATGTGTATTCAGTTCCAGCAGTGAGAGATGAGACTGTGTAATTCACAGGTCCATCTCCAACTGGTTCAGGAACATATATTATTC